AAGCACTCGCTCCTGTTTTGGGGGTCGCATTTTTTATAAAAATTCTCGTATAACTGACTAATTATTGAACTTTTGAATGTTTATACCAGTTGGGAAACTTGTTAGTGTTGATTTTAATGCGATCTTTACAAAGACCCCCGGGAGAAAATGTAAGCTTTCTTAGTAGGTCTTGTCAAACCTTAATCGAGATCTACGTAAATAATACACACTCAGATTAATTTGATTAATCTGCTTGTATTAATCTACCCTCCATTTAGACCAGTACCAGTAAGCTGATTCATCAAATTAATGAATTGTGTATTACTGACGATGTCTTCTCCAGTCAGTATTGCTTTTTAAAAAGACAAACATACGATTTTGCAATGGAGAATCCTCTAAGCTCAGTCATAGCCAATTTGTTTATGGAATATTTTAAAACTGAATTATTGCCCAGTATCACTAATGACTGAATGATTCTCATTCTTCCATCAAATTCAAATATGAAAAGGAAACTGAAGGTAGACTCGCCTTCCTTGATATTCTGATCAACAGGGTAGATAAAAATGATAAGCCAACAGTGTACAGAAAAGATAGGCAATCAAGAACAAGCATACTCAACACACAGCTTTAAAAGTACATATGATAAGGCACAAGATGCCAGAAATCAGTGATGCCGAGTCTAGGAGGGAGGGCCAGGAGCCGAGTCTCGACTCCAGCAAACACAACCGGGTTAGTACATTCATTCTCTCTCTCTCCTCTCTTCTCTCTCTCTCTCCTCCCCTCTCTCTCTCTCTCTCTCTCTCTCCTCTCTCCTCTCTCTCTCTCTCTCTCTCTCTCTCTCTCTCTCTCTCTCTCATTTACACAGGGTTTGACAAGGTTAGGTTAAGGATCCCTAGCTTTATTGACAAGGTATTTACAGGTTAAGGATTCCTGACTTTATTAATAATCTGAGAGCTGTTACCTACATCAGCTCATTTGAAAGCATTTTATTGTTATGAAACATACAAGTAGGGAACAGGATGAAGTTGGAACCATCTGTGGGTCAGCATTTTCATTTGATCAACTGACTTTATCTCGTTGACATCATACTGCTGTACGAATGGTTTCCAGACTTCGTTGACATCATAATGCTGTACAAATGTGTTCCAGACTCGAGTCATCCTGGAGATAAATGATCTCAGATGGAGTGATGTTCTGGAGAAGGGTACAGCCAGAGTGAAGTTGCTGCTTTCTGCCCGTCTTGTGGTATAGAAGATTGCTTCTTGCTGTCCTCGAAGTGGAGCCAAGTGTGGTACTTTGACAATGTTGGCCTTGTACATAACAGTAAGGCCACCCCAAATTCCTCCTGTGTTGAAGGTTCTGCTGAAATGACAGATCTATCCAGGATGGGTCCAGGCGGGAGATAAGACGTCTTGCTGTGTTCTACTCTGTCAAGCAGTCGCAGATGAGAGGGGGGGGGGGGCAGGCAAACCAAGAAAGTGGAGCATACTCAAAGTGTGAGCGTACTTGTGCCTCATACAGAATCTTGCAACCCCTACTGTCAAGCAGATGCAAGATACGGCGAAATGCTGTTAGCTTCCTGGCTGCCTTGTTTGCAAGATTTACAGCGTCGTTCTTTATATATATATATATATATATATATATATATAATATATATAATATATATATATATATATATATATATATATATATATATATATATATATAATGTCGTGCCGAATATGTAAAACTGGTCAATTAGCAAGAACTCATTTAAAATTAAGTCCTTTCTAAAATTTTCTCTTATACGTTTTAAGATATATTTTTTCATTAATGTTAATGTAAAAAATTTTTAATTTTGCACCAAAAAGAATCTTAGAAAACTTACCAAACCCTTTATTATAACAAGAAACAGTTTATTTTAGCCTAACCCAACTAAATATTTTTAGATTTGTTTACAGTAATTTAATACTAAACAAACACAGTGAAATATATTTTTTTCTTTAGGTTCAGAATGATTTTTGGCGAAATTATTGCATACACAAATTTTCACTTTTTCCTATATGGCAAGATGAGCGTTGCTGTTTAAGCCAAGATAGCAAGTTCTGCCTATTCGGCACGACATTATAAAATATATATATATATATATATATTTAAAATATATATATATATATATAATATATATATATTTATATATATAAAATATATTTTATATATAAACAAGAATGGGTGGGTACTCGAACTGTGGTCCTGACAGGTAGCAGGTTTGGTGCTGTACCACTGAGCAACAAGGATTACAGTAAGGTTTCCCAGACAGCAGTGTTGTGACTTGTATGTGAGAGGTCACCAGCTGTGACCCAGGTGTCCTGTGCCACATCCCCAGAAGTATTCAAAGTGCATCTCTTCTCATACCCCTCAAGCATAGGATTATTATCTATCATTTCCTGATGTAGCATAGTATAATGTGCTATAGTTACCTGATATAGTATAATCTGTTGTCATTGACTGATATAACATAGTATAATCTGCTATCATTACCTGATGTAACATAGCATAATCTGCTATCATTACCTGATATAACGTAGTATAATCTGCTATCATTACCTGATATAACATAGTATAATCTGCTATCATTACCTGATATAACGTAGTATAATCTGCTATCATTACCTGATGTAACATAGTATCATCTACTATTATTGCCTGATATAATCATATCTATCATCCGCCTTGATGCCAGCGAGGGGCTTTTGATCCAAGGTATTAGAACTGTCCTGCCCATCCTTGGATATATCCTGATTGCTTCCCATTCCTCATTAGCTGTACAACCCCTACGGGTAGAAGCAACCACAGTGCGCGTGTTTTCCAGGAAATCTGTCAATCAATATAAGTGAGGCGAGGATGGCACCTGGCTTGGCACTGGAGTGATCCACACGCTTTAAGAGCTGGCACTAGTGGCATTGTATATAGTGATCCACACGCTTTAAGAGCTGGCACTCTTAGCACTGTATGGAGTGATCCACGCTTTTAGAGCTGATACTGGTGGCACTGTATGGAGTAATCCACACGCTTTAAGAGCTGGCACTCTTAGCACTGTATGGAGTGATCCACGCTTTTAGAGCTGATACTGGTGGTACTGTATGGAGTAATCCACACGCTTTAAGAGCTGGCACTCTTAGCACTGTATGGAATGATCTATCGTAAGGGTTCTTAAATGGAGATATCGTAGGTTGAAAGTAGACACACTTGTAGGATGGTAAATATATTGTCAGACTGAGATGAGAGATGGAGCCCGGTGCCAAGCCTGTTCACGTTTTGTAGGTCTGCCGCCGAGTGAGGGCGGGACAAAGGGATCACTGCCCATGTGTATGCCCATGACGTCACTCCAAGCCAAAGGCCTACGAGGGATCTCGTGTCTAAAGCACATGGAGGATACTAATATGCTATGCTATATAATACAGGGAATACTGGGATCGGAAACAATGCTGACAGCTCGGTCATGTTACGTATGTCGTCCCGACATACACACATCTATAGGCCCTGAACAGGCAGGGGGATCTGGGCTGATTCTAAAAATAACAAATGCATATATAACTTAGAACTAATGGAGGGTACAACATGATTTTGACGTAAGGGGTGTTAACGTAATCATTACAAACTATAAGTACAAATCATTATACAATATGGATGGAATTAAATCGATCGATCTGTATTCATGCACCTCTAACGGATTCTGAGGAAGAATAATTATATACAAAGAAGTGTTTTAACAGAAAGGCAGATTCGTGCACACAAATCTAGACTGTTAATTCTCAGAAACGGAGGGAACGTGAACACGAAAATTTTTCTGACAAACTGATCAGCTAATAATAAACCACAGTTGACAATTTCATTCACTCGGACATCTAATTAGCAGCTTTTTTACACTTAAACCCAATTCTGCCGAGGGTGAGGTTTACGTATGCAGAATGGTTATCATCTCTGGGAGGATCGAATTCCTCTGCAAGGGCTAACACATGCCTTGACTGAGAGAGAGCTGAACAGTATCTACAAAAGATACAACTAAATCACTATGACGTGGAATTACTAACTCATCTGCTGGGAGTACTCAACTCGACTATTCGATACAGTAATTTTTGGGCTCATTACAAAGTCACTAATGGGTACTGGTGGCTTCACAGTAAGAATAAGCTCTTCCTGGAGCAGGAATCGAATCACACCAACACAAGGGAAATCGGTTCTTTGGGCATTTTTGACAACCTCAAACAGTAAATGGAGGATCTCCCAGTAACTACACTAACGTGTCGCGAAAAAGCATCTGCGACTACATTCGACTTGCCAGGTAAATTTTCAAAAGTGGATTGAACTCTTGGATAGTCAAGGTCCATCTGGCTAACCTTCCAGTAGGCTGTTTGTTCTGGAATAAAGGTAACAGTTTCTTCCTTACTGGAGGAAAGAACAAACTCGGGG